CATTATATCCGTTTCAGCTATCGTTCGTGGAAAACAAGATTTCGATTTCGAGGTTTGCCATCCGATGAAAAAGTGTGTGGCATGCGCAACACGGAGGAGCACAGGGTATGGAGCGGCCTCAATCAGGAAAAGGATTCCCACGGGATATTGTTCACTCCGGTAGATATAGGCGGTCGACCTTTAAGCTATTCAATGACCTCGCCGGCTCCTGACGTTCGATCCTGAACGTCGTCTCCCTCCTGTTTCCTTCTTGCTGCGCCGAACGAGAAACCTGAATTTCTCAATTATTCGTTAGGCTCTCTCTCTCTCTCTCTCTCTCTCTCTGGTATTTGTATGGTGATATTCGAATCCATATTGATCCGATTAGTTCCTGCTTGGAACTTAGATTAGATTTTGCGTTTGAGTCGTTGAGTCATTCGATTCGTTAAACGTACAGAAACGGCATTCACCGAAATTCTTCACGGCACCTCGCCCATTCCATCGATCGATTTAGTTCGATCAGTTTCTCACTTTGTTTCCGACGAGAGAGAATTACAGCGGCTTTCCCCTTGAACTTTGGTCTTTAATTTTTTCTGATCTGGTTCTTTGACATTCGTTCGGTCGTGTACGTGATGCTTGGATCTGTCCCGATTATTTAAAATGATTGAACGAGCTATATATGCTAATTTCTTCTCTTTTTTTTTTTTTTGCTAAATTTTTTTCTTTCGTTTCTTGTTTGATTTGGCGCAGTGATACGTGTAATGTATACGGTAGCACACAGTAGGTTCGATCTTCTCTCTCTTTCTTGCGTTAGGTTGCTCCAGTTTCTGCCTTAAAACAGCTCCATCAAAGTGTTCCACGGTCTGCATTATGAAAATTCCTGCATTATATCGCGGTAGTGCACTATTTCGCGTATTTCGCGACCGTCGTATCTGGGTTGCAGTTCGGCCACTGTCGTTTCTCTCTCAATTACGTTCGTCGATTACTGCCGGCGTTACGGATTCGCGTCAGAATGTTGGGAAATGCGCGTAATAATACAATTCCTGAACAGAAAGTTGATCGTTTCGTACTTGCGTAGACTTAGAACGCGATCTTACCGAAATATGATCGTTTATAGAAATCGACCGATGTCGCCGCAGACGACATGCTACGAAAATAATGAAACAAATCTCACGCAGATAACATTATCAGATAAAAACGTGCGCGATGCATTGCAACGTGAAGTGAAACGTATATCTACATTTCGATCTATATCGCGGCTCGCGTGGCAGTGAACGTGTCAAGACGCAGCTGGTTCAACGGGACAATAATCACACCTGTTAATCAGGCTGCATCTTAGAAACGAGTTCCAAAACTCCTGAACGCAACGGAATCTTATCTTACCCTTGGTGGATCCTCCTTGGAATCTCTCTGTTACACGTTTTATTGTACCACGTTCGTGACGAGGCATTTCATTAATTCGCGCGAGTTGCTGGTCGGAGGAGGGGGGAAAGCTACTCGTTATCGGAGCTGATAACGCGCGCGCGAGCAAGCCGAGTCGCTCGGAGGAATATAGGAAGAAGAAGTCGAGGACGAAGAGCAGAGCAGATATACGCACACGCGTACGAGCGCGCAGATGTCTTTACGAACGAATGATGCATGCGTTCACGTGAGCACCGACGCGAGCGCATACCAGGAAGAATCTCGATGCGTAGTGCCGTGGAGAGCGGAGCTTTCGAGCTACTTGAGCGCACTCGCGTAGAGCGCGAGTCAGCCAGCCAAGCCTGCGTGGGTGGAGACCGTGAGACGCGTGCTATACCCACCAGAAACCGTCCTCGAAACGCCCTATTTAATGTCACTGCGAGTCAGTGCAGCCGATGGTTCTTCTGTCTTGGGTACACGGAGTATTCTTTTCTTAAATTTCCTTTTTCTTTTTTTTTTTTTTTCGTTAATTTTGTCGTTGCAAATTCGGACGAATATGTGATATCGAGTCGTTCGTTTCAGGCTTCCAGCTGAAAGGGAAGGCAAATCGCAATTCGAACTTTAAATTCAACTTAAATTCAAAGTTGAACGTTGACGAGAAGAGGACTTATGCGCAATGTTTCGATACTTCGTATTTAGAATTAAATGTGGAAATTTCAGCAAGCGATGCTCAAGAATCGGAAGAAAAATCGTAACCTAAATCGTATTTACTCGAAATACTAAATGCTTTTTGTTTCTGTCGATCAATTTCGATCAATGCTTGATTAAATGAACTCTTGCCGACTGGATCTGCTTTATTCGAATTCGAACTACTATTGCACCGAACGAAAAATCTCTCTAGTCTCTCATTGTTGGTATGTAAAATTGTCCCACAAGAAATTCACGTGTACAAGGAGTATCGAAAATCTACATTTCCGTAACTTTTCCGTACTGTGCTTCAACTACATACAAACATAACTGTACGTTCAATCACACGTGCGAGTAACTGTATTCACATGATCCGCCATCTCAATTTCTAATTCGCATTTACCTTATCGACTTGACCGAAAAGCAGTCGCGAAATCCCACGGAACAACATGGAGGAACACGCAGGATCAATTTGAACATCCGTCAACCTCTCACTTCCGTTGCGCCGTGCGTTTCCCGATTGAAATCGCGTCTTTCCCAGAGCGACGTCGGGTTCTCACGGGCGAACAAACGCGTTTTACACGGCCCTGACGTACGAAATCTTCGATGTATGGTATGTATGGCGCGTACGCGAGCGGATCGCGATGAGGTTCAGGCCTTTTTCACGCGTCATCGTGCCAGCGACTTTCACTTTGTTTCCCGGCTGCTGTTGATGCGCCTGATACTCGATTGTTAGTTAGTATCACGACGATCCTAGAGCCGTCGAGAGAGGAGTTTTTGCAGCCGAGAACAGATCGGAACGAGCGCGAATCAATCAAGCTTCGATACGTCTAACGTAACCGTTGTGCTCATTATGTAAGCTCTGCTTGCTCGGTTGTAGTTGCGCAATACGCGCGTGTGCACGCTGAGATAACGATTCGCAGCGATCGTCGCGCGACTTTGTTTGCTCGTTTGATTTAATTCCTCGAGTGCCGCCGACACAGAGAGAACAGTTGCGCGATTACGCTCGTACAACTCGTGTTAATAATACGAGAAATTCAAAAATCTCTCTCTCTTCGAAGTCTTATCTTTCGTACGTGTTCTCTCTCTCTCTCTCTCTCTCTCTATCTTTTTAGGTTTTAAACGCCTCCTGGTCTTTAATAAACTAATTCTCCTCTACATCCATCTATCTTTGAATTTTTCACTCGACGCAGAAACTTAACACTCTTATCTCGTTCTACGCGTCCTCTCTGCATCATGCAGAGCAACTTCATGATCGTTCATCAATTACACGACATCGAGGAGATAATCCCTTATTAATAAAACTTTCCTCGGGAAATTTTCCTCGTAACGTTATTCAGTATTTCTTACGCAACAGAAATGTATTAACCTCTTAGCTGTGAACGACGAGTACACTCGTCATGAAGAAGATGGCAATTTTTTTCTGCAATAATTTTCTTGTGGAAAATGAAATGAAACATATTTGTAAATTTTAGACATTTTAGAATACTTCGAGACTTAATATGTACACGTATGAAAAAAACATTTTTCTTACCATTAATATTAAAGTATTGATTTTTCAAAAAGAAAAAAAAAAAACTAGTGTTATTTCTTTACAATTTAATTCAATTTTACCACAGATTCTGAGTATAATTCATAAATCATCGAGTCATTCTAGCGACACTTTTAAAAATGGCACTACAGCTAGTAGATTAACAAATATCACAGTGCTCTTCCTTAAAAAAAACAGTTCTCGAAACTTTGAATATATATATGTATATGTCAGATACGTTCTCGCTGGCTGAAATCTCGTAGAAAAAACAACGAGCGCGATAAGCGGTCGATTCGCGGATAAGAGGCGAGCGGCGAGCGAGAAGCTCGTTCGCGGCATTTGCAATAATCCTGAACGCCTTAAACCGATATCCGAATAATATACGACGAGTCTTAAACCGAGTGCAAACAACAAAAAGCACAATATTCGTCGTAACAATGACTCTGTCGCGAGAGGGACACCTGCCCCTTTCGATCGGTTTGGTTATTTTCTTACAGATTGCCACGTACCACGATTGTACGATTGTACCAGTATGAAATCACCTTAATTTATTGTAGTAGCAGCTAAATACGTCTACGAGAAGATATATATCGTATATATCGTGTCGCTTTACGCCACACTGCGCAATCAGCATCGCGATTTTCGAGACGTTGCTCTTTATAAACAGGTATTTATTAACAGATATTTTAGCGAGGCACGGCTTCGTCGAGGCAAATGGGACAACAAAGGGCGATTTTTCTGTTTTGTGAATATGCCCCTTTCATGAAGGAACACCTGTCTTTTCAATTTACCGATGTATTTTAAAAATCTCCCGCCACCTGTTGAATCATTCTCAATCGCTCAATCTGTTAGAGAAATATTCATCGATTTCGCGTTGTAGAATTGTTCGATTTTGTAGGGTGCGTTACCCTACGAACAAACATTTTATTGCGCCTATTTTCATTTGGCTTTCGGACTTCTGTCCGCGATAATTCCGCGAGATGGACGAGAACATTTTATTGTGAGGACAAATGGAATGGCAAAATTAGTATGCTCGATTCTTAATCGACCCTCTGTTACCAAGCGAACCTCTTCGAATTTTTATTCACGGATTTTTATTCTCATCGTCGTTCCAACGGAAATGAAAATTTTTATTTGTGGAGCGTTTCATTTATGGATTTCACCGAGTGAAAAAGAGTCTTCGCTGTTTAATTAAGTATGAAACTATGGGAATAGTTTTGCGGACGGCATTTGATAGAAATTACGAGACGAAAGAAATATTTGAATTTCAAATAGAAGCAAATAATTTCGAAGACGACGAATTAATTTGCCAGAATTTTGTCGAGTGTGGAACGGTAAAAGAATTGCCGCGAACGTTCACTGGTCTTGTGGAAATCTTCTAAAAAGAACGAAATCGAAATGGACGTGGAATTCTAAGAATTGGCTTGTTCGATCTTTTGATTAGTAATAATTTCAAGGCGACAGAACAACGAGAGTAGCGTGAAGCTGGTTAATAAATATCCGTTCAATTCGTGGAACAAATAAATTCCTACGTCGTAGGAATGCTCAGAGCCAATTACATTTCGCGAAATCCACGAAACCACGAGAGGGAAAAATAATTTTTCGAAGAACTACTTATCGATCATTGATTCATTTCGGTCAGACTACACTGCGAATAGTATAGCAGTAATTTCTTTCAAGATTATTTACAAATTCTTTCTTTTTTGAAATCATGAAAATTATTTAAATATCAATATTTCACTCGACATATATTTATATTATCTCTCTCAAGAGAATTACATTATTAAGAGACACTTGCGATTTGTTGCGTACGTACTTTTTATCCTGCGTCTCAATTTTCGTTTGCTGCACGCTATCACGCTATTTTCAATTCACAACGAAATACAGCACCGCCCTAAACTTATATTATATTATACTGTTCAAAAGTTTCCAAACCTCATTTACAAACATGCTCGTAGCTTTGTTGCAAAATTACCTTGCATTTACTTAGCGGCAATTAAATTGTAACAAGAGGAAGCCAACGCTGCGAGAATCGCTTTTGCGACGACACACTAGCGGCAAGTTTTGATGCATATCGACTGGTCGCGAAATCCTAGTTAGTCAGGACTTTTTCGAGAATGAACTTTCGATTCCGGGGCGTTTCTTTTTAAAGTTCCAGCTACTTTCTAGTAGTCTTGTAAAATGAAATTTTGGAAACCTTGGAAACACTTTATTCGAAAAGTCTTCGCTCGCTTCGTTACTGTTTTCGAAGAAATCGGCGTCAACTAAAAAATTATTAATCATTCAATCGTTCACGAGGTATAGTGATTAATTTCTTGAGTATTTCTAACTGCAACAGAAACAGAAAAAAAAGTTCCTTCGCCACTTGGCAGTAACAGTAGTATTAATATATAAGAAATCTTCTGAATCTTTCCCTGAAGTACGCGTCTAAAGAGCAGAAAATTTTTAATTATCAATGCAAACATTAAAAAAAAAAAAAAAACGGATCGAATGAAAATTCGGCGACGAGACGAGAGTTGGTCTGCCGCGAGTGTGTTTCCAGAAATCGTTTCTGTTCGACTACGCTTTTTCGATGGGCGAGCGATAGGTTAAAACACGGGAGAGCGGGAAAGAGGATCGGGCATCGCGTTTCCAGGCGAACGGACGAAACGAAAGGCAAAAGCGAGGCGCGGCGATTCGAACGGTGCGCGTCTCTCGGACATTGTTGTTTTTTTTCTTTTTTCTTTTCTTTTTTTTTCTTCTCTCTCTCTCTCTCTCTCTCTCTGTCTCCCGATGGCAGCGCGTGGACTGTCGCAACGCGGCGCGCGATTGCCATTTCTGGGCTCGTTGCGATACGCGGACGTATTAGTCATAGGCGTTGCATACCGCACGGAAAATTGAGACATCCGGCAAGGACGGAGCCAGGCAGGCCTCTACCCGAGTTAGAAATTTTTAAAAAAACCGCCACAGAGGCGCTATGCAAATGCGTAGACGCACAACACACTCCTCGGACAGCGAGCGGTCTGCGCGCGAGCAGCGCGAGCGGATAAGCGAACGCTTGTGCAACCTTGACGATCGAGAATGTGTTTGACCTCCTCGTCGTCGCGGATAATCCTGCTCCTCGCCACCTCGTTAATGCCTCGCCTGTCCTTAAAACCGAATCGACTTTGCTTCCCATTGCTCTCGCGCATTTTTTTTTTTCTCTTCTTCTCTCCTCTCTCCGCTCCGTTTATTTCTCTCATCCGTCCTATCTCCGTTTCTCTTTCTCTTTCGTTTATTTGCCTATAAAACGGCGCAGCTTATATATATATTCGTTTTGTTCGTTCGATCTTTGATCTCTTCTTTCCTCTCTTCCCTCTCTTGGAGGACTTTGTTTCGAGAAAACGCGACAAAAGCAATCGGTTAGTTGTAGTTGTTGGTTATTTTTAGGAATACGTTATCTTACTATCTTATCTGATCATATCGAGAGTGATTTTCGAGATAAAGATTGTTACTACTTTCACGTTGTTGCTTTTCATGTTTTCCTGGTTTCCTCTCTCTCTCTTTCTTTCATCCGCC